TCCAGTTCACCAGAGACACCTGGACAGGTCTCCAGTCTCCATCAGGGACACAAAGAGGCAATCAACCATCCACACTCTGTCACAGCTAGAGTCACACAGAAGAGCTCCAGAAGGTTTCAAACTGAGAACTCTGGACTCAGATCATCTGCTGCACACAGTTCTGATCACTTATTATCAATAAGAATTTTATTGATAATTATCATGAGGAGTCCTGAACTAGGAAGTAGTTAAGAGAATTAAATATTCATGTATGTGTAAATTTATTACCATAATTACAGGTGAGTCGCGTAAATATATGTTTTTATAAAACAAGTAGACCAGTTTCCTAGGGGAAACACTGAATAACATCCCTGTTTGGATGTATAAAAAACCACTAATTTATTAGAAAGAAAGATTCAAAAGACAAAACAAGAATGATTGAAGGTGGTTTGTGGTTTAATTACTATTCAAATAAAATGCAGGAAAAATCCAAACATGCATTAAGATTATTTTAAAAATTAATTTTTCTTGCTTTTTCTCTGTGTTGCATTAAAATGTTACAAATTCTTGCGATTCAATGTGCACAAAAATCAACAAGAGGACGAGAATCATGATTTTTTTTATAACAAAAATAAATAAATAAAAATACAACCTGCATTAAAACCCTGTTCGTGATCCATATATTAGGTGTTTTTGCATCGAAAAGATTTAATTAAAGCAAGCTGGTCAGTTAATGTTCATGCTTTTAAACTTTAAGAAGCCTGTTGTTTCACCACACTGCGGTTTATTGTTTTGTAGCTTTAACGTGTTTTTATTTAGYAAAGTTTCTCTGAGTAATAAAGGATTTAGGTTTTACAGGCCTTCAGTCCTCTCAGATATAATTTCAGCAGCCAGCACTCAGTTTCAGATAAAAACGAATAGTTTTACTTAAATGTTGTTGTTTTTTTTTACCTGCATAGTAAAGACTCCCAACTCCTGCGAGGAAAGCTTTTTCATCTGCTCCGCCAAAACTTGAGCTTCTTCCAGGATAGAGAAGTCGGTCTCCGCTCCGCAGGATCCACAAGCAGACAGAGCCGAACAGATTAGAACCAAGCGGCAGAACGAGCCGCCGCCGCCGAGGAGGCGAAGCTGCTCACTCCGGGAAGCAGCGCTCGCGCTCGGCGTCAAAGCCCGASGTTTGTCCCCGGTTCGCCTCGCCATGACGGTGGGAGGTTCACAGGCTGGAGGAGCGCGGTGGCGGAAAAACACGAACTTCAAGGGAACTTCTTTTACAACTTCGCAGCGTAGAGTGCGTGAGCTCCGTCCCTCCGGTGCGACACTCCAACATTTCCAACAACCGTCGCATCTACTTTTTTAAATCCCTGAAGGAGGYGAATCCCGGCGGAGGAAGAAAAGGGATGTTTTTGTTTTGTTTTTGTGTGTGTTCTTCTACGTTGTCGGTGTTCCCTCTTCGATCCAACTCCTCGAAGTCTGGCAAAGTGTGTGAGAGAGCCGGAGACTCACCACAATGGGGGTGAAAGTAGGAGGCGTGGAAACCCAGCGAGGAGTCCCAGCGGCGCCTGGATCTCTCGATCAATGGATCAGGGTCGCATGATGCGTTTATGGAAGCTGGGAAAAATKATCACCGACAAATAAAACAATCGAGCCGAACGTCACTTAAAACAACAAAAACATGAAACACACATTTTCATKACCAAATTGTTACTCTGTTAACTGTCATGTTTCGTTATTGCATGTGCATTAACCATTTATTRTTGCGCAATGATTGAAAAAGTTGTTACAACGAGTTTCCTCAAACACAACAGAAGTTGTAAACGTAAAAATAAACACGASATGAATTGTGTTGTTTTGGGAAGATATTGTAGAAATGCTCAATGCCGAATGACTTCACTAAAATTTGTTGAAGAATGAACTTTTGACTAAAAACAAGCAGAACAGGAGGTAAAACGTAAAATTAACAAAACAGTTTATAAAAGATAAACTTTAAACAGCTGATAATAGCTAAAATTAGCTTATCAGAAGCTAAAAGCAAAAATGTTGCTATTTTGTATAAGCTAAACGTAGCAAAACAGAAGCTAAAAAGCTATAGCAAATAGTAGGTAAATGTAGTAAACCTGAAGCCAAAAGCTAAAATTAGCATGGCAATAGCTAAAAGCTAAAATTAGCATAACCAATCTGAAAAAGTTTGTAGCTAAAAGAATAAAAATGGCAAAATTTGCCAAAATCTAAAATTTGTCAACTAAAAGCTAAAATTACAACAAAGCAGGTAAAAAAGTTATAGACAAAAATACAGCAGGCATGTTTCTGAAGGAACCAAAATGATTTCATTGCATTTCTAAGAGTGAATTTTTTTAATTAAAGTACATAATTTAAAAAGCATAAAAGCTACAAATACTAAAAGTTTCAGCTCACTACATCTGATCAAAACAAATGTTTTTTATGTCTTATTTTGGTTATTCCTTTTTTTAGATGTCACCACAGTGAGTCAGCCTCCACCTGTACAGTTAAATAATTATAAATATATCMCATTTACAAAGAAAAATAAGTTACTTTAAATAACAAAACTAAAGTAAAAGCTTTCAAACAGGCATGGGTTTAAAGCATTAAAGTAATTATTTAGGAAAAACATATTTTGCCTCCTGCTGCTATGTGAATATCTACTCTAAACCAGATCATTTTAATAAAAACTGAACATCCACTCTCCTGAGARTCCACTTCCTGTTTTCACTGCAGCTGAAGACTTGATGGATTTGGGAATGTTTCATGTTTTTGATTGATGACTGCAGAATAAAGATGTGTGAAAGAAAGTACGTTCGTTAAAGAATTTCTCGTCAGCGCGGATGATGCGAGGCTTTGAAGMACAACAGCACTCCAAGCCTTCAAACAGCTGACCTCTAATCAGTGTTTTCTCTCCGTCTGTCTCCACTTCATTGAATTGCAGAGTGCATTGAATACACAGCTGCACAACTGGCCTCTCCCCAGCCGTCACAGATTCATGCAACTTCTTTTTTTTTTTTCCTGGCAAAACATTAGATTTAGGCGCAGAAGGTCCATTTTATCCTGTTATAAAATGATATTGCAGGTTTTTAAACAATAAGAAAACCTAATAAGTGGTTATAATGAGGAGATTTAGTCCTTATTAGTGGGTGGATTTCTGTTCGACAGAATTTACATTCATAAATAAAATGTGGCACTTAAACCTCAGGCTCTGTTTACACAACAACGGGCCTCATGCAAGAACGTGTTCGTATTCTCATCCTAAATTTCTCTTACTTTTGTTACTTACTTTTGGAAGAAAAAGTCCAAGCAAACGGTTTTATTCGTCCAGCGAGAGTGGCGGCACAAAAGGCCTGACAAAAAGATGATACAGAGGAGAGGAAAATATAACGGCAGGTGTTCATTTATTTCTGTTTTGTACAGTCGGCTATGTTTAGTCACAGCTTTGATCACCATAAGAATAGACAAATCTTCTTAAGCCTCTATGGTGCAGTTAAAATAACTTCAGCTCCCCACAGCGTCTGCCAAATAAGTATTTTCAGTTTGGAGTATTAAAGAAAATCAAGTCAAACAGCMTCTCACTGTTGCACAACCTGCAGTGAGTCATTTTAATGACTATGTTTTCAGGCTATGTTATCGTTCTCTAGTTTTCAAATCTCAGCTGATGATTTGATTTATCTGCTCATTAAAGTGTGATTAAAYGGGTTATTACTCTTCATGAATGGTTTATCTGTTTGCGTTGCTGGCTTGAGATCTTTGCATGGATATTTTTGAACACCTAAAAACACAAAAGGCTTTTTTTTTAAACAAAACAGTAAACATATTTTGAAACGTGTCTCCTGCAGGGGCGTTATGGTGGCCATCGAAGGCCCAGTTGTAATTAATGTTCACATTTAACTTCGACTAAACAGGAAACATCACGTTCCTCGTCTCGTCGCTACGACTGAGCACGGATAACAAACAACGAGTGAGCTCTGCCTGGTATTTCCTGCATAGAAACAATGTTTTGACACGTCCTCTTATAAACACTTAAAAGTACTACGAGTACGACTGACTAAATGTGAAATAAACGATACATAAATACTATTAAAAGTAAAAAGAGAGTTTTACTCACTGATGAGTTGTGGTAAGTCTTGAATGTCCTGATATATCTCAGTAATCCAGGTAAAAAATCAAAAAGAAAAAAATTGTATAGGTCTTCTGGACGGGTTCTTCTCTACTGAAACGTTTTGTCTCTCCTCCAAGAGACTTCTTC